TGAGATATGCACGTGGGGCCCCGATGTGATGTCTTGTCTGTTGGATTTTGATGGATTTGAATTAAATTCTAACATAACATTTATATATATAATAAATAATTTTTTTACTAAAAAATTAATAAATTAAACTTAAAATGACCAAATTGTTATACTTTAAAAGGTATATATAAAAAATGACTTAAACATTACATAATATTATTAAATAAAAATAACTTCTATGAAGCTCAATTTATAATGCCAGAAATACATGATAAATCCCCTTGAATTTTGATAAATCTCATCTAATTGGTGATTGCTTTTATAATACCAGTTCATTGATTTCAATTTTCCACTATCATGTCTTTCGGTATCATAATAGAACCTAAAAGAAAATGTGATAATTAAACCAACTCTATCGATGAATCTATATTAATTCTACATAAATATATATACATACAATATTCTAATTAATTAGTATAATATAACTTGGAATTTAATTGGGTCTGGTTAAATCAGATTGGGCTTTAAGCTCGGATGATGGGAACCATTGACTGCCCTAGTACTTAAACAAATAATTACTCTGGTGTAAATCAAAGGACAATTGCCACATAGCAAAAATGCTGCAAGTAGTTGTTGTAGTGGCATTAATCAATTACTGAAACTCTCCAACCACAATGTACAGGGCCTTTAATGTGTATGTTGTCCTCTTTATTGGATTGGACCAGAACAATTACTCCAGCATCAGAACCACCCATTGGAGGGTCTACACAACGGGGTACCCCATCCTCATGCCCATAACCCCTCAATCGTGATGGCAACCAAATTTAATTCAGGCTTTTTTTGTTCTACATTTGGTTACTTATCAAGAAACACTTATTTAAGTACATTTGTCTCTATGTTTTTTTTTTTTTTTTGCACTCTATAAACTTGTATTTGTATTCTTTTCAAATTGAGCCTTTTGGAAGGAATACAAATCCAAACATATAGAGTGCAATATCTTTTATTTTGTATTATTTTGTATACATTTGTAATGTAGACTTTCAAATATAAGGCTCAGTTTGGAATGAATACAAATACAAATTTGTAGAGTGCAAAACCTTATGTTTTGCATTATTTTATATGTATTTGCACTGTACATATTTGTATTTATACTCTTTTCAAAATAATACAAAATATAAGGTTTTGCACCTTACATATTTGTATCTGTATTCCTTCCAAATAGACCCTAAGTTAAACAATTTACCCCTTGTACGGGAAAATTAGGCTCTGTTTGGTTTGGGAGAATAGGGGTCTGGAATCGGAATCGAAATGGGTTATTTCAAATGGAATCAGAATCGGAATGGGATATTTCGATTCCAACTGTTTGGTTGGGTGGAATTGGAATCCCATTCTCACTCCCACTGGAACGGTATTCCCCCATTTGAGGGAATGGCCATTCCTTGTCCCTCCCTTGGGAATGAAATCTCATTCCTATCGATTCCAGTTTTTATTCTCATTCCTGTCTGAACCAACCAGACTATAGGAATAGACCATCCCAATTCCAATTCTAAAGAATTTTGGTTCCGATTCTACTTCCAACTGTGAATCAAATGGACCCTTATTTACCCAAGTATAACAAAAAAAAAAAATCATTTACCATAGGCATCCACATTTTACTGATAAAAGAACATGGAGTTGGGCAGCCCTATTCAAATTCCTTGGAAAACATATACAAAAAATGGTAGATGAGCATTTGAGAGATAAAATCTTGTCCAACCAATAGTGATATTTCCAAGACAGAGTAGAGAGGTCGTTTAAGTTGAGATAGAGCCATAGAGGCAATGCATAATGAGTTACATCCATTCTCCTTTCAAAAAGATTTTTTTTTTTTTTGTGTTTTTTTTCATCATAAAAAACACAAATCCTATGCTTTAGAATTCCTTATTGAGGGCAATGAGAGATCACACAGGCTACCTTGTATTTGTACGCAGTATACCCAATTCATCCCAGCCCGATCTATTTATTAGCTGAACCATATAAAAATTAAGAGAAATCTATAATTTATCTTATCTCATAAATTTTATTTTCAAAAACCACCACCTATGATATGGACGGGATCTGCTCCTCACACAGGGGCGCTTCACAGGCACATTTACCCTGTATTGAGAACATCTTCCGTGAATAATAATATATAAATACGGGAGATGTTTCCAATGCATTGTAGGATGTGCATATGAATTCGGTGTGAGAAGATCCGGTCTCCCTATGATATAGTACACTGTACATCTTTTTGACACTATCACATTCTCCAACTTCTAATTATACAAACATATTCCTACCAAAAAAACTATGCAAATAAAAATTATATATGAGGTGGGGAATCTGAAATTTCCCCAAAAATTAAATATTACATTTTGGTATATGATACTTGTTTTCTTGCACCTTGCAAGTTCATCGTTTACCACACATCCAAAATATTTTATGCATGGTGTACTAGGGGTGGACATGTTGGCTTAATCACGAACTTGAACCCAATAAAACTTGTTTCACAAACCTAATCAAGAGTCAAACCAATTCAAAACTTATGAACTTTAATCGAGTTAGATATAAGCTTACATCTCTAATTCGAATCAAACTTAAACCTCAATATATATATATTTTTTTTCACTAACCAAGTTCAAATTCGATTCGGTTAGCTCCAATCCACCCCATATGGTAAACCAAATTTTATGCTTTATTGCTTAGGGAAGTAGGGATGGCAAATTTCCTTGTAAACTCAGGGGCCCACCTCACCTTGCCTTGAATGAGGAGAGTTTTTTCCGTTCTTAAATGGGAATAGGGTGGAGGCAAAGAAAATATTTTTGCTCCAAATCAGAAATAGATCAGGGATTTGTATATAATTCTTCAAACCTGATGGTAAATTGATAAAATATCTCTAAATTTAATATTTATTTTTAAAATATCTCTAAATTTTTTCTAAATACTTAAAATTCTATGATCCTATAATTCACTTTCTAAAACATCCTTAAATTATTATAATTCAATTCTTAAAATACTCTTAAATTGTCATAACTCAATTCCTAAAATATTTTCAAATTCTTATAATTCCATTAATAAAATACTAACAATTAAATTAATGTCTCATAAAGCAGAAAAAATTCGGACATTCCCCCCGTCCGCAATGGAAAGTGGGTGCCCCGCCCCGACACAAGGAATGGAGCGGGGAAGGTCTACAGACGGGGATGGGGCATATTGCCTTACATTGTTTGATTGTTATTAAAATAAATATTTATAGCATTATCCCAGGAATCCGATATCTGACTCATTGATTATTTTAATCGGAGGATAATGATTGTAAGATCGAACTTCAATCAATCATCTTTTGCCAAGAAAAAAAACCATCAATCAGAATCAGAGGATGTCAGAAAAACAATAGGGCCACGCGTCGAGTATTTTTGGGTTTTCACCCCCAAAGCCACGTATCTCATCAATCAAATTCCGCCGTTGATTTTAAATCGTGTGGCTTTCTCGCATCCCCACCTCTGAACTCTCCTGCAAAGCCTGTTAACATAAAGATCCCGCGTCAGGGTAGTATTGTAGACACGTAGTATTCCTCCCTCTTCTCCAATTTCTTAAACCACTGTAAATTTACTATAACACCACAACGACCTTTTATTTATTACCTAAAATACCACTATCTTGTGAAAGGTGAAGCATGCGAGTTCACATCTGCAGATGCAGCGCAGCAGCGGCCCGCGGGTGTTTGTTTAATTGTTTAGTCCTGGTTGGGAGTAGTTATTATAAGAGGTTGTTTGGTATCAAATGTTTATAAGATAAACGTTTTGTATGATTTTATTTTAAAAAACGAGACAAAATCTGTTTTAAACGTTTTGTACGATTTTTTTATACTTCAGCGCCAATAGATGCCATAAGCTAAACAGTAAAAAATTGGTTTTGAAAATGAAAAACATTGAGATTAGTATTTTTTTAATAAACAGTGTATACGATTTTCAATAGAAATAAACGGTTCAACCAAATAACCTTTTAGGTGTTTTTTTGTTAAATGCATCTCCAATGCTAAGCTGGCACTGTTTCTTCCAAACGCTACATTAATACCAAATACCATCTAGATAAATAAGTGTTTTTATTTTTTTTTCAAATAGGAGTTGTATAAGCATTTTGAAAACTACACCGCAAATCAAGACAGTTTAGATGAAAAAGCATTTGAAAAAAGCCAAAACTTTGAACTTATCAAAATGGGTTTATTTCCTAGAAAAGTAATTATTCAGGTTTATTTTTCAACGCATAAGAACTTATTCGTGTGGTCTTAGCCTAAAATAAGTATTTTTTAATAATTACTTGAAATAAAACACTTCCAAACAGGGGCCTAGGCTTTTAGCTAACACCTACCAAGTTGCAAGTTGCAATTTGTTTTAGCTTGTAAGCAAAACCATATTAAATTAAAGAAATAAATAAAGAAAATTAATCGTGCCAACAAAATATGTTCCAATTCTCTACCAACATGATCTCACTCCATATATTTCAGATATGGCCAGTCCCACTTTTATGGTGGGTCTCAATCTCATAGTAAGATGTATGGTATTAAATCAAGTTGGTAGAGGGTTGGAACATGTTTTATTGGCAGAAGATTCCAGCTCTTGGCCGTCATTGTTTGATCAGGTCATGTTAGGTCAAGAGAAGCAACGGTGGCATGAAATGTGTACTTGTAAGGTGGTCCACTGTCTAATCACTATCTCGTAACAATCTGATGGTGGATGACTAGGTCATTTTCGTAAGATATAAGCATATCAGGCGATGCAACTTATCATTAAACAAGATATATACCTCTTTAGTTTCTTCTCTTTCTCTTTAGAGTCTAATTACCATTTTACCCATTCCTTTTTTGGAAGTTTCTTTGAGGACGTCATTACCCAAATCACCCAAAGGAAGCAGCTGACTCAAGTGGAGTAACAATTAATTCAGTAGCTAATTACTTGATTATTATCCAAGCCTCAATTATTAGCAATAGTTTATATCATCTGGGTATTAAACAATTATATGGTGGCAGTGCAGATCTTCCCATGGTTGGGGATGAGAGGGACAGACAGAGAGGTAGAGAGGTTGAAGAAGAGAGAAGCGACAGATAGATGGGTTTAAGAGAGGTTTAGGTCTACCAACTGGTGGTTAGGGATTGAACACATCAACTACAACAATGGGTAAGAGGGAGAAAAAGTGTTGATTTGTGGGTGTTTGGTTTCTGAGAGAAATTTTTATTGTAAGGGGAGAGTGTGGCATGTCTCACGTGGAAAAGATCGAATGGTGGATGGAGAATATATGAATTTAGAAAAGGGAGATTAAAGAGAGAGAACATCAACTTGTAGTTTTTGAAAGGAAACATGTTGTCTGTTCTTTGGAATTCTGTGTTTTATCTTTCAAATTGTGGTTTTTTAATTGTTATATTTGTTCGATGAAAAGGGTTTGTTGTTTTGAATCTCGGGATTGCGTTGTCTCCAATTTGGTGTTGTTTTGAGCTTTGCTGCTCCCCACGACAGACACATCCGTCTCGGGTTTTCAGGTGACTTTTTTTTTATTTCTTGGCTTTGTGTTTCATCGTTTACGAGAAGAAAGATCCCTGCTTTCTTTGTTCTTCTGATGTGGCTTTTAATGCATGAACGACACGATGATGGTGGAAGACGGAAAAAATATTGTGCTAATGTACAGGTTTTGATTTTTATATATTTATATTTTTGTGTTTGTGCCCCTGTTCTCTGGGTTTAAGTTTGTCCCTCGGGAGTATTTAGAATCTGGGTATTTGGTTTCTGGGTTTCTTCTGGATCATACTCTGCTTGAGGTTGTGGGGATTATTGACTGTTATTTTTATATATTTGTTTATATTTTTAGTTTCTGTTGAACTTGATGGGGAAGTAGGTTCTGGAGGATTTTGTTACGCTCTCTGTTTCCTCATCTGTTGATATAAGCGGTTTTGGGTTGTATCAGGAAGGTTTTCCTTCAGTATTTCTATACCCTGTAACACTCCTTTCTGCCAGAGACCTAGGTATCCTTTAGACAAGGAGAAGAAGAAAAGAAAATACCATAAACAGTTTTCTTGGGGTCTCATAATTTTCCTTATTATTGGGAGCTTGGGAAGGTCCATCCATCCACCTAGCTGCTTATCCTTTTCATTCTTCTCTCTTATATATATATTTTTTATCTTCATTTTTAGTGTGAAATCTGTGGGCAGTTCTACTTAAGCATTAAATATCAATCTCTTTTTCTAAATGTTGTGAACATTTTTCTGAGAGTTGTTAATAGGTTATCATACTTGTCTTGGTCCTCATCAGGTCCTGGTGCAATAATTTCTTCACAAGAGCAGGTTGGTGATGGTCTATCCTTCATCGTCAGTTACTTGACTCGGAGGTTCCCGGCGTTGAGGAAGAAGAAAGATGGCTACTTATTTCCCCAGTTCGAGCAACCAAAGAGAAGTTATGCCGACCTTATACTCTGTGCCTACTTCATTTCCTGATGCACCGGTTCTTCCTGGCAACATGATGTGTCTGAACTATGCTTCTTCTGCTAGGTCCTACACAGATGCCTTGGCTGGAAATTCTCAGCCACAGCAAAATTGTGTTGAACTCTCATCTGTGGGAACTTCTGAGTCCACCCTATTACAACAAGGAATTCTATCAAACTTTTTGGGTTCTCATTTTGGGGAACAAAACTGTGGTCTATGGAGGGATGGGAGGAATGAGATGTCAATCGTACAGCCATCGGGTGGTCCAACAAACGTACAGCCACTTGGTGAACAGTTAAACAGTGGGGCAGATGATCTGGTTCGTAGCTCTGTTGGTGAAGATTCTCAGATGGGTCTAGGAACGCAGCTAGGCATTTTACAGGGTGGACAGAACTTAAAGGGACAGGGATTATCCCTCAGCCTTGGGTCACAGATTCCATGCGCCAATCCTATGCCTTCTTTCCAGTACAGGCATCCTAACCAGGGTCTCTGTTCATTCTTGAGCTCTCATCAGTCAATATCAGGTGATGGTGGCAGAGGGGCCAGCTCGTGTAGAGATGAGGAGAGCTCTCAAAGCAAACAATCAAGAAATGCTGAATACTTACAACCTGATTTTCTTGGGGGCAATCATGATGCTATGAAGAGAGAAGGATTGAACAACTTTCAATGCTCAATGGGCCCCAAACTAATCCATTCTGATCCGTATCCTTATGGAATGTCAGGTCTTCCAAGCACCATTCCCAACTCCAAATACCTCAAGGCAGCACAGCAACTGCTTGATGAAGTTGTTAACGTCCGTAGTGTTCTGAAACAGTCAGATTCCAACAAACAGCAAAACTTGGGTTTAAAGGGATCCAAAGATACTTATGAGGAACAAAAGGGCGGCACTTCATTACCTTCCACAGATGGGATGCCTTCAAATCCTCAAGAATCATCTACCAATTCTGCTGAGATTTCACCTGCTGAAAGACAGGATTTGCAGAACAAAATGACAAAGCTTTTGGCTATGTTGGATGAGGTCAGTCTGCTACCTTCATTTTACTGTCCTAATTCAGTGGCTATTAACTTTCACTATTTTGACACTGAGTCGATGTACAATATCTTTGCCTTCGAATGCATTCAAACAGTTTCTACCGTAGGAAGACTGAAGGGTGCAAAATAATTGAAGCATTATTTATTTCATCTTGTCACTCATCAAAAAAGAACAAGTACATTTTGCAAAGCAACAAGTTTATATGCATATGCATGCCCCTGCTTTTAAGAGAATGGATATGCACAAAACTTCTATATGTGTCATTAGTTGATAAGTAAAGTTTTAGATTCATGACATTCTATTGTGGGATATTAAGCACACAAAAAGCAAGGAGCTTTCTCTTCTCTTTTAGGGGGATTGCAGATCAGATGCTCCAATGGAGCAAGTTGCTTGACAAAAATTGAACAACATTTTTTCTGAAATTTTACTGAAAGAAGTAGTAGCTCTTTGGAGAATCTAGCTTGGAAGTGGGAACATTATTGATCAACCAATTAATTATATTGCAAGAACAGTTCTTTGAAACTGCACAAAAGAAAGTTTTCTTTTCTTTGAAACTCTCCTAATGTGATTTTAGTAATAGAAAAACATTAGAATCTTGGTTCTAAAATGGATCTTTAACCAGAAGGATGCCTGGGAGTACCCACAATCTTTTGGTGCTCTTTCTCTCTCTTGCTAATACTGATTGCCGGTGCCAGATCTTCTTCACCCACACTTGTCATTTCTATCATTTGGAGTAAGACCATGGCTTGATCAATAACCAATACATAGATGTTTGATGTAGTAATTCTATTGAAAGAAATGCTCTGTCAAATTTGAGATGCCTGCAAGACATTTGATCAGAAAGAATTTTACCTTTTGTCAATAAGCACAATATTGTCATGCAAATCTAATTAAGTAAATATGTAGTTTGAGTTGATTGATGTAATTCAATATCTCTGAGCCACATGAAGCTGCATATTGAACACAGATTTTTGGTGGTTTTGGAGATATCTACAATATCTTCTTTACATCCATGTGGCCTGATAAGCTCATCAGCTTTCATGATTTTAGTATTTGATACTAGTCTTTCTTTGTGGCTGCAGAAGTGGATCTGACTTGGAACATGAATATTCCTTAGAAGCTTGACTTTAAATATCTAAAATGTTGTCTTTATAACTTTGACATTCCCAAGTAATTTATTCCTGAGAATTGTAAGGCTAAGAGGCTGCATACCATTGAATACAGGCACTGTAAATTATTTTCACTTGTTTGTCATCCCTCTGTGATCTCTGTGATTAGTAAAAGCAACTGCTAGTAGGATTTCTTCATATCCTTAAACAAGCAGTATGGAATGATAATCAGGAAAAATGCTTCTGACACACATTTTCATACAGAGATCAATCTCTCTGTAACTGGATCAAAATGAATAAGGTCATTACCCAATGTTTACCTCACCTGTAAGAAGCAATCTGTTGCAAGTTGAAGGAGCTAGAAGAGCTAGGGGTAGACCAAAAGGGCATGGGTTGAAGTAGTAAGAAATGATTTAGGCACTCATAATTTAACAATGGATATGGCTTTAAAAAGAACATAATGGCTAGCCAACCCCTTATAGTTGGGATAAGGCTTGGATGATGGTGAAACCAAAATAACTCTAAACATTGACATACAAATATATATTTTTCAGGGATGCCTAAGGAATTGTTTGATAATGGTTGAAGTGACTGAACTGAATGACATTTTTTATTAGTTACAAAACTGTAATAGGCTGCATTTGTTTCAAGTGCAAAAAGTGGACAAGTGTAGGCTATTTTTTTTCAGGGATGGCAGATAGCAGCTTTGACGTCAACATCAAGGACAACCATTAGCCTGCATTTTGTGAACCAACCCCTCATCTCATGAAATTAAACTTTGATGGGTGCTGTTTAGAAAATCCAGGCAGGTTTGGTATAGGTGGAGCTTTTAGAAATAGCAAAGGAAACATAATGGTTATGTTCTTGGGTCCTGTTGGCCATGGTGATTCTACAAGAGCAGAGCTATTGGCTGTCTTAGAGGGATATTGGCAAAAAAAAAAAAAATACTTGATTACAGAAACATCTTTGTGAAAGGTGACTCAAAAGGTAGTATTGAGCTGGTTTTGAAACAATTTAAATGGCTTGTGACACTATAGGAAGACGATGAGAGAGATAAGACACTTAACCATGAGATTGAAGCAATATTTACATGGGTCCATAGATCAACCAACACTGCCAATGCACTAGCAAAGCAAGGGGTTAGTAGAAGATTAAGAGGAGTGTTTGGTACACTTTGTACTTTAACTAAATCTTTTCCATATATCAATAAACTTTAATGTTACCAATCAGACAAAAAAGTATTCCAGGTGTAAACTTGATACCCAGTTCACTTTTTCCTTGTTTTTATTTTTGCAAACACCTTTTACACCCCTAGGGAATAAAATTTATATTGGAACCACATCATTTAAATTTCCATGGGTTCTAAGGTTTGCATCCCCAGAAGTATGCAAAGTTTACCTCTATGTTCTCCATCTCTCCCATATAAAGCGGGGACCACACCATTTTACTTCCTCAAAACAAACAAAGCAAAGCAAAATCTGAAGCAAGATGAACCAAGATTGTAATGTCTCACCTTTTCTCCTTAACATTTTACTTTGTGCTGAAATTTGCGTTGACATAAAACAGCCATAATGAAGTAATTGTAAAAATCAGTTCATTTTATTAGAGCTAGATGATATGTAGTTATAACAATATAAATTTCTTAATGTTGATATAAAATTACTAAATTGTAGACGTTATTCCTAGTGAAAATGAAAATAGAGTGATTCCTTTTGGTGCTATGGTTATATTCTTGATTGCTCTGATTGCAGGTTGATAGAAGATACAAACAGTACCATCATCAGATGCAGATTGTGGTATCATCTTTTGATGTGATTGCGGGGTCTGGGGCTGCTAAACCATATACAGCACTTGCCCTCCAAACAATTTCCCGCCACTTCCGCTGCTTGCGTGATGCAATCAGTGGCCAGATTCATGCAATCCGTACAAGCCTTGGAGAACAAGATAGCAAGGGGGTTGGAATATCACGCCTCCGCTATGTAGACCAGCAGCTCAGGCAACAGAGGGCTCTTCAGCAGTTTGGCATGATGCAGCAACATGCTTGGAGGCCACAGAGGGGCTTACCTGAAAGCTCTGTTTCTATCCTTCGGGCATGGCTGTTTGAGCATTTTCTTCATCCGTAAATCCTACAACACTAAATATCTCTATCTATTTTCCTCCACCAACCCACACATTCCTTTAAAAATAACAAAAAGAAAACGACATCTAATGTCCTGATGCATCCAATAAAATATTGGATATCAATTCCTCCTAACTTTGTCATTTTCATCTTGGTCAGGTACCCCAAGGATGCTGAAAAAATCATGCTAGCTAGGCAGACAGGCCTGACCAGAAGCCAGGTAAAAGATAAGAACAATGAAAGTCTAATCTACCTGCAAGTTATTTTGTGATTAATGTCTTCAAACAATGATGCAGTGAAGTATAAAAAATGGATTCACCATTCAGTAATTTAGATAATAAGATCTTATGTTGAAAATTCCTTGGGTGGACCAATCGAGTAGTGGGCCTAAGGTTTCCTCACAAACAATGTTGGTATCTGCTTCATTCTGTATTCATGGTGTCTGATATTTGATATCTTGTTTGCCTTAGGTCTCAAACTGGTTTATAAATGCCCGAGTACGACTATGGAAGCCCATGGTTGAGGAGATGTACAAAGAAGAAATTGGTAACACTGAGATGGACTCAAATTCTTCATCTGAAAATGCATCCAAGGCAGTGAAGGATGATAATAAGGTCTCTGAAGATAGGGGGGAAGATTTGCAGCAAAGTGTGAAGTCCACATCTACTGAGGATTGCCATACTGGACAAATCCAAGATTCAAAGTCTGACGTTTTCCCTGATATAGAAATGTCTGGATCTGCAGCAGGTGCAGGCCTTCAGGATGGTGCTTGCGAGAGGGATGGTACTGACCACGGGGTAATGAAGTTGGGTGGAGAACCAAGATCCAGTATAGATGATTGTAGCAGTCTTTTCCAGGATACACTAGTTCAGTCTGATAGGAATGGTGGTGGGAGATTTATGGCAGCAGCTGCTGCTTACCAGATGGCAGAGTTGGGGAGATTTGGGAGTGGCAGTGGAGTGTCACTCACATTAGGATTACAGCACTGTGATGGTGGCTTACGCATGTCTGGCAGGTCACCTCACAATTTTATCGCCATAGGAGGGGATGAGATGTACAGTGCAACAACTTCTTCTGTGGGGACTGACATAGCAGATTACAATTGCATGGATCCTGGGAACCAAAAAGAAAGATTTAGTTCCTCCCGTCTATTGCATGATTTTGTTGCCTAAGCTTTCCTTGCATTCTATGTAGGTAGGTGGAAATTGTAATCTTCTTGAGGAAGGGGAAAGAAGAAGACAAATGAGAGAAAAGAATAACAATAGCTGGAAGCTGGTATCATCAATCTTGATTAAAAAAGAAGCGATTACGTAATGTGTGAACATTCATTCATATGGCAAACACAGCTGTAGTATATATAACAAGAGACTGGTGGAAAAGTAGCATATCTGTGAAGGTTCATAACATAATTTTTGTGGAACCCATTCAAGGATGTATCTTGTACACTTATTTTAGATTGGTCTTCTAGAGGAGATCATCACATCCAATGTTAAATATTGTGACAAGGATCATAATTGGTTTTTATTTTTCTTGGTTCCAAATCCAATAGTTGCCTTCATGCTCGTAGGAATAGGGGATGTTGAAATGGTTCAAGATTGAAAGATCCAAGACAAGCTTTATGGGTGGTTCAGGGCTCAGAGTTGTCATAGCCGCATCATCTTGTTCTTGTGCTGAACTATATATAATATGGGAGCTCACTGCTCAATGTATTGGGGCCACTATTCTGCCCATTGCTTATGTTATTTATAATGTCTCTAGTGGCATCAAGTAGCAGAATGGCTGTGGTATGTACCATACTGTACTTTGTAATACAGAAAGGTCTGTGATAAAAATAAAACTATGGCACAAGTATTTCTTCAGTCTGCAACCCTATCTCTGTTTTCCTTTCTTTTTCATTTTTAATTTCCTCTTCTTTCTGGAAAAGTGGAAAGCCCAGATAAACCTACTTTATTACTGGTATTTTCTATATTCACGAATGTTGACTGCAGGCTTTCTGTTTGAAAACTATATATTTAATTCGTAATATACAGTCATCTTCACCAACCATCATTCTCACAGCTCGGTAAAGACTTCCTTCGACAACCTTAAATTTAAACAGAAATCCAGGCTGATAGGAATTGGGATAAAGCTTTCGATAGTTGGTCAGGTCAATCAAGAATTACGAAAGTTGGTCGGGTCGAATGATCGACCCTCCGGTCCAAATGGTCACCCCGTGATGTTTTAAAATTTTTTAAAATGAAAAAAAATTAAATAAAAATGACCTGAAAAATCATTGTTTGGGTCGAAAGATTTAGCGGTTCAACCATTTGGGTTAGGTCATCAGTTTGCTGACCGGTTCAACAGTTTTTTTGGAAAATCCCATGCCTGATGCAAAACGGAACTGGATAGGTGACTGGTTCCCAGGTCGAACGGTTCTTTTTGATCAGTAAAACAAGAAAAAAAAATGCCAAGCAAAGTTGGAAGAAGAGAATTGAGATAAATACATAAACATTGTGCAGAAAAACTATTCCTCTCATTTGCATCAGAAGATTAGACCAGAGAAGAGAGCAAAGAAATTAAAAAAAAAAAAAAGCCTCATTTTCAGTAACAATAAAAATGTAATGGTACCATTACCATAGAGGATAGAGCTTCACCATTTAAAAGAAAAAAGAAAAGGCTAACGTCTAGACTCTAGACTCTAGGGGTAGGGATATTGTGTACCCACGTTGCAACCTCCCACATGTTCCATGTAACAAAAGTAACCACCAAATGGACCTCACAGCACAATGAACGAAATATAAACGCCATTTGTAAATTGTAATGTAATTATTTAAAAAAAAAAAAAACAAGATAGGGATGAATTGTGAATTGGGGGCATCAAATTTTGAAGAGGCTCACCCTATTAGGGTGTTCTGTAGTATAAATGAGAAATTAGGTGGTTTGTTTTCATTTATATCTATATATCACACATGTAGAGTGGATGAAAACACACACCAGACCTCAAAATGATAGTTGTTTTGCACCATGGACAAAGATATCTTGACTAGGAGTGCAATTTGGGTGGGCCCAATCTAAACCCGAACTAACCTAGCCTGAAATTTTACATGGGTTGGGCTTGGATTTTCGGTCTTTGAGTTGGGCTCGGGCCCAATAATCCAGGCTTTTTTATTTTTTGGGATGGGTTGGGCCTAGCCCTTAGGTAGCTCAAACCCAGCCCGAGCCCTACCCAACTATACAAATTCATACATACATATGTATATATGTACATTTTTGCATACATACATATATACATACATACACACATACATACATATATACATACATGTATAATTTTAGAGTGGGTTTATTGACCAACCTAGGTCCGAACCTAACCCAAGTGAATCAAATTATAATGCAAGCTGAGAAGATCAAGCTTGACCTCAAACTCAGTCCAAGCTCGGGCCTTAAGCCCAAATTTTTGGATTGGGCTTGGATTGACCGTAAACCTAGCACAACTTGCCCAACTTGCATCCCTAATGTGGACTAAACCACATCACACCCCCATAGTTGTTCTGCAAGGTATGGTGTATTTCAATCCACATTATGTTTTGATTCCATGCATCTCGCCTACAATATGTGAGTATGTTATTAATAAGAAAAAAACAATATTTTATTTTTTAGTAATATACATAATAAAAAAGTATTAGTAAATTGATAAGATTGATTTATGAAGTTATTAATCTTACTAAATTTAAAGACAAATTGAAAATTAATAAATATTCTAGAAATCAATAAAAATAATTCAAAACTACGTTAATATTTAAATTGCTAGGAGTACTAATTTTATATAAAAATAATAATTAATAAAAAATAGGGAGAATGACTATTCAGTCCACCTCAGAATTCTTAATCCCACCGTACAAGTGGGATGAATCTTGACTGTAAATTGATGCTACATCCACAGGCAGGATGCGGTTTATTGGGGGGCTACTAGTAGATTATGGGGGGCTGTAATTTCAGAATGACTGTGAATTGATGCTACATCCATGGGCAGGATGTGGTTTATTTGATGCTACATCCACGGGCAGGATGCGATTTATTGGGGGGGGGGGACGCTATTAGTAGACTACAGGGGGCTCTAATTTCAGAATTCTGTAGTAAGCTACAATGTACTTCTTCGTAAAAAGTATACAAGTTTTAATTAAAATAGTACACAACATTATTATTTAATATGCAAATCTAAAAAATATTATATAACAAAATTAATTAAGTATTAATATTATAGAACATATTTAATTAAATGTTATATAACGGAATTTATTATTTAATATGCAAGTCCAAAAAAAACCATGGTAAAATAATCCATCCTATGAAGTATGTGCGAAAAATAGGACAACTCACTATAAAAAAGTCCATGGTAGCGTGGACCGATCCACGATAAAAACCAATAGATGAGAAATTGGCCATGGTGTGGACCCATCCACGAGATTGCATGGATCGAGCCACACCATGGACCAACCAAACACCCTAAGACGTAGTGGTGTGATCCTTTGATCCTGTTTATCTCTTTTTTGATTTCACAAATTACACATTAGAGGAGGGATAGACCAAAGCAAGGTGCAAGGGAGGGATGCCGAATGACCGTCTCAACTACTAGGTCATTAGCTAATCTGTCTATATAGAGGAAGAGATATATTAGAAAATCAATAAAAATATCTAAGGGGGAGCAGACCATAAACTTTTCTATAATTATTGTTTTAGTCAAGGTTTTAAAATCGGACCGGACATAGAATCATTTTGGGGATCGATTCCCGAGTCAAATGGTCTGATCATTCGGTTCGAATGAACAGCCCGTTTTGAATAAAATAATTAAAAATTTAAAAAAATAATTAAAATAAAAAATGGACAAAAACCATTACCCAGGTGATTGTTCAATCAAACTGGTCAGAGGGTCACTGACTAAATCAGCGGTTTTTGGCTCAGAAACAGTTTTATGATGAAACAAAATCGATTGTCTGACCAATTCCTGAGTCAACTGGTCCGATCATCCGGTCCGGTCCGGTTTTCAAAACCATCGTTTTAATTGTTTAGTTGGTTTAAACATCATTGAAGAATGATGTTAATCCGCGTTTGGTCAGTAGCCCGAGACGCTCAGACGGATGCCATTGCCAATTGGCAATTGGCATAAAAATATTAGTATTATCGACTTGGTGAGTTGCCGACGAGACGACCGTGCAATTTTTTCAAGAATTATCATGTCTCGACTCGTTCGACGTTATGTTTGAGCATTTTAGAATTCTTTTATCTTATTCCGTGAGTGACTGATTGTTTGTTCCTAAATCAGATAACGCGGCGATTTTATTGTGTTACAAAACTGGGCCCACGACATCCCATTAAACAGCAAAAAATACGGAATCAAATAGAGACACAGACAACTGGTGGAGGCCACAAGCAACAGAGATGGCAATGATTACTACCCAATTGGACCCAGAATCAATCAATCCCCCTAATCAGAATAACCAAACAGATACTCCATCAGTCTATCACCAGCAAGAAAGTAGAGAACTCTCTCTCTCTCTCTCTCACACACACACACAGAACTCATATATTTGCCTGTAGATATGGACCCAGTGTCCTTTCAACATCTCTGTGCGATAACCATCACAAAGCCAAACTGGAAAAAAAAAAGCTATATATATATATATATATATATATATATATATATATTACCATCTGGGGTTGCTACTATTTTACAGTACCACAAGGTCCACAACGAGACAATCTTAAAACTGGGAGAGTGAAGAGGATAGCCTACTTTTCATTTTTTCTACTCTTGTTTTACGCTGTATATCGGGGACCTGTAGGAAACAAACAATATGAAATTTCGAATGCTATTCCAATAACATGTTGAGCAGCCTCATGTGATGTCATAATATGTGACAAACAAACAAACACCCGGGAAGAAATAAAAGTTTAAGACAACCCATTGGGTCCGCTTGCGGAATACTTCACGTCTCCCGAAGAAATGAAGCCGCAGATGTTAAAGCTGAAAGATTGATCTCTATTGCTTCTTGGTTTATATCTCAGGCCTCTGATGTTTGGGTAGATGGGGACCATTTTTTCTGCCATTTTGTTTGCTTTTTACCCGGCTTTGCTTGTTTGAAGGATTTGCAGGGATCTGTCTCTGGAGTATCAGCTAATCAGCCACAGAGGGAGAGAGAGAGATAATGTTCCATGTGTGTTTGTGTACGTTCGTTGTCTTGGAACGATTAGTAGCCACGGTATGTCTGTACTTGGATACTATTTCATTTGCTTTGTTTTGCCTCCCACTCTCTCTCTGTCTCTCTGGTTAATTGGGAAAACTGGGTCCTGCTTTCTTGGTTGTTTAACTCCCTTTATCTTGGTTGGAGTTGTTTTCTTCTGTGTGTATTTTTAACAAATTGTATTTATTACCTTTTCATCTTTAACGCTTCTTCTAGTCGGGTTGCTTGAATGAGTGAATTCTGTTCTCAGTTTCACCTGCTCTTGACTGGTTTGTATTTTCAGTTTTTGACTATTAATTGATCTCTCAATAGATGTGGGTTTTGCCTTTCCTCTCTCGGTTTCTCCCTTCACCCTTTTAAAACTGTACTTTTGATCTTAATGGGCATCTACTTCTCAATTACAGTTGAGTAGCTCAAGAGCTTTCTTGGCTCTCGATTTCAGTGGTTTTCCAGCAGCTAACCATCCCTTTCTCACATGGGTGTTGTCACCCGTTTTAAATAGCTCTTGCATTCCTCATTTTGAAGAGTTGAGAGCATTTGTATCTTAGTTTGGTTTTCCCTTTCTCGTCTCTTCTTCAAACTTTGAGTTTGAGCTGTTATTTGTCCTCCTAAGACGAGTAGATCCCCTACCCCATTTTGGCTAAATCAATAATCAGTTCTCTGAGTTGATGACAACAAAGAGAGAGTGACTCTTTTATCCTGTATAACATGCATCTTCCTTACTAGGTGTTTCTTCTAAACCTGTTGCAATGGTTTCACAAGACTCATCCAGCGACCCAGCCTCGAGTATTCTACACCAATTCATTATTTCATCAGACCCCATTTCAAGCCGAACAAACATGGAAGACAATGGCTATACTTCTTTCCAATCGGATGGAAGAAACAGGAATTCGTTCCCCCAATCACTGGGTGTACTGCCCACCACTCAATTGCTGGGAGAACGAATATCTAGAGCAATAGATCAGCTTCAAGCCCATACAATATCCGAGGATTCTGAGCCTTGTAGTAGGAGACATTTGATGAATCTTCTTGGAGCGGCGAGGGAGACTGATAGTGATCACCAAGCCCAAAGACTCTGCCTTACTCTTGGTTCTCATCTTCCATCCCATATGCTGATACCTTCACTGCAGTACAGGCAAAGACCATTGCATTCGGATCCCATAGGCTTTAACTATTTAATATCTGGAGAAGAATCAAGAGAAATTCATAGCCCAGGATTAGATCACACAAGGAACGATTATCCCTTCGCCGATAGCATCTACACCTCATCATCAACCGTGCAGAACCAAGCATGCTCCACCTCTTATGAAATAGAATCCTTTGCTAACGTTGTGGCAAATTCCAGATATCTAAAGCCAGCACAGTCCCTCCTTGAGGAGGTTGTTAGTGTGGGAGGGAAGGATATCGATTTCAGTTCAGAGAAACCATTTAAACGGTTAGCCAGAAATGGAAGAAGAGGAACACTTGGAGTTTCTCCTGAAATGCAAGCAGAGGTCTGTAGTAATGCGTTAGCTGCCGAGAAACAGGAGCTTCAAATCAGAATTGTCAAACTCACTGCCTTGTTGGATGAGGTATTAACAAGGCTGCTAGAAATTTTTTTCTTTTCTAATTAATGTGTGATTGCTAGAACCTGGTAACAACTGCATGAATTGTTTTATCTCTTCTCAGGTTGATAGCAGATATGAGCAGTACTACCATCAGATGGAACAAGTGGTGTCATCCTTTGAGGTGATAGCAGGCTTGGGGGCAGCAAAGTCTTATACTGCACTTGCACTCCAAGCAATGTCTAGACACTTTCGCAGCTTAAGAGATGCTATAGCTGTTCAAATAAATGTAGCAAAATCACAAGCCTCTCAAGATATACCAAGAATAAGAAACAGCCTTTCACAGCTCAGTTTGTTTGATCAAGAGGGAAGACATAATCGAGCGTCCCTTCAGCAGCTTGGGATGATGCAAAACCGACGACAGCCATGGAGACCAATAAGAGGATTGCCCGAGAATTCTGTGGCAATCCTTCGCTCTTGGCTTTTCGAACACTTCCTCCATCCGTAAGTGCTTTCACCCGGTACTGGGATTTTCCTGTTTTCAACAACCTACATCATATCTTCTTTTCAATTTTCTACCACTGATTATTGTCACTCACACAGATATCCGAACGAGTCTGAGAAGCTAATTTTGGCTTCACAAACAGGCCTAACAAAAAACCAAGTAATTTTCACTTCTCCCTCTCTCTCTCTCTCTCTCTCTCGGTAAAAACTAAAAAGTTGGGTGCTTCATCATTGTTTCAGATTTCAAATTGGTTCATAAATGCTCGAGTTCGGCTGTGGAAGCCTATGATAGAAGAGATGTACAAAGAGGAGTTCGCAGAGAATTCAGAGGATCCGGACCCATCATCAGAAAATGTCTCTGTGGCAGGGAAGGAGGTCCCAGATCATTCATGAAAGCAGGAGAAATTGCCGGGATGAGCACATTATAATCCTATTCCATTGATTACTGGCATCATGTATGTTGCTTATTGCATCGACCCCACAAGTATTTCCCCCTGAAATTTTCCATTGCAGGTCATATCAGATCGATTGCCAGTTGCCAGTATCGGAGACTGAAAACCCGTTTTCCTATCCAATCTCTCGAATTTTGACATTATAATCCCACTTTGCATGTAATTAACAGAGGCTATGCCTCGACTAGCATTTATCTGCATCCGCTTAATCGGTTGGGAATCAGAATTGAAATCACTTGAATAGGAATCGTAATGGTTTATTCCCCTACCTCTTTGGTTATCAAAATCGGAATCGGAATTGGCCGAAATGGGGTTCTCATTCCCGAGGGAGCGGGAATGACTATTCTCTCAAATGGGAAAATGCCATTTCAATAAGGTATCTGAACACAGAATACCGCCCCCAATTAATTCAGCTAGATAACAGATTGAATGGTCATGATCTTCCAACAAGGTATTCTTCTTTTCCCCATTTCATTTCCTGAGAGGATAGTGAATTTTGAAGAAACAGGCGAATTGCCCTGAAATAAAAAGCAAATGTAGAGGGGAAGATGAACTAACTCCTGCAGTGAAGTCCCAAACATGAAGGAAGATACGAGATATGAATATGGCACAAGCATGAATCCCTCTCACTAGAAGGCATTCCAATATTCAAAGACTAAGGCCAATAGAAAACCTGATAGGTCCACTCCACAGTTCCACACCACGCATCATTCAGGCTAATTACTTTTTGGCATTGGTAAGTTGGTAACAAAGGAGGATATTTGGTAAAACAACGGTGAGTAGAATATATATCAGTTTCTGAACCCACCAAAAAGCTGTATAGAGAGGGATCTAGGGAGTTGTGTTTAAATGTAAGAACCAAGATTCAAAGTATCGATACATATCGATCCATATCGGTCGATACGTATCATTCCGGGACCCCTCCAATACACCCCTACAGTGGGTGTATCGGAGGTCTGACCGGTTCAAGCGATAGAGGAGACCTAAACCACCCCCCCTAAACCGGTTGCAAAAAAAAAAAAAAGGGCCTGAAACACTATCGATTCGCCCAATACGCCCATAGGCTGTGTTTGGAAGAGGTGTAAAACATCATCAATATAAAAATACACCGATGATGTTTTACACTGAACCGTAAATATATATGACCGTTGTATTTTGAAATCGATATAAAAAGATGTTTAAATTTTACATAAATAAAATCGATATAAAACTGTAAAGGTGACGAGGTTTTACATTTATCATCGACGTAAAACTACACTCCATCCAAACACACGTAAAACTGAACCAAAGTGTAGTTTTATGTCAATAATAATTATACTCTTTTACCAAACGCATACAAACCGATGTAAATTTTACTATCGGTTCTTGATTTACATCGCATCCAAATACAGCCTTAAATACACGACACATGGACAGATACGCACGATAAAAAATGTTTGCGTTATCGTGTGTCAATACTTGGAACCATGTATATACATGACTCTGATAACGCTGACTTAGCCATACACTCCAAATGGCAGGAAAAATAAATGCTCATTTTGGGGATAAAAAGAAGATCGGTGAATCTTACAAATCTTTATTATATTCTATGTTTGGAAACAGTGAGAATAGGAAAATTGATGCCATACAAGAGGTTACAGTCTCATAAGTGAGGGTTTTGAAAGTTACAATTTGTTGCAACCATATCAACAAATAAACATTTGTGAGGTGGTTTAGTGAAGATTTAAGAGGGTGTTTTCCAATATTAATGGCTTTCTTTTTTTTTTTTTTTTTAAACAAAAACAACTGCATGCCAGCAAAACAATACATTTTTGCTGATGTGACAGTTGTTTTTTATTATAGAAAAGAAAACCATTTACATTAGTGAACACCCTTAAAACAGCAAGAGGAATAAACCACAAGAGACCCTAGCCACCTTGTCTAGGCATAACTTAAACCTCAGAACGAACAGAGAAAATAGTATCAAATTAAAAATTGGATAAAGGTCAAAAGAAATCAAGACATTCAAAACTAGATAAGATCAAGCAATACACCATCCCATGCCCACTCCACGCCCTTATGAAGTCTAACTATACCTATTTTGGTCAAAATTCACATGAACAATCATTAAACATCAGCATTCTTCAAGCAGTGCTTCGGCTTGCATTTTCAAAATAAACCCAGACTTCCCGTTTCTAGAAAAAGATGATAGCATCAGAAAAAGTGATTCAGAATTGCTTAGTTTGTCTATACTAAGTCCATACTCAACACTCATCTTCTAAAACAATGTCTATCATGAAAAATTTTACATTCCTTGAATTACGGATGCAAGAATCCCTCGAAAACAGAATACTGATGGACACACAACTAACACTTTAATGCTTGAATTTATTTATTTATTTTATTTCAGGCTGACACTCTACCCGATTATGTCTGTCAGTTGAATGCTTTGAATGACACTGGGATCCTAAATTTAAGGAACGAAGATGTTGTCAATTATGACTCCAATATGGCAGAAAACAAGATGACACCGAGAATCTTAAGTTATTTCCAGACTTCCAAGTGGAGTTGATTTTTCATTTGGATTGATTCAATTTCCACTATACAGATTCAAAATCAAGAGTAAAGTAACTGCTTTTCAACAGGTATTCACCACTAATAAGCAAAAAGGGGTGCTCAATATTTTTTTCTTGGCTGAAAATAACATACCTTCTATTACTCTATACAGCTTTGCTCCCCGATGAAGAAACAAGAATCAAGGAAAAAGGAATGAACAGAAAAGGCTTCAAAAAGGCTAGTACTAAAGCAGCTATACACATACAGTTCTATACAGTGACCTGCCAAAATACCTTGGAAATTCCTGATGAGAAAGGAAGGGTGAGTATGAAACTACAAGTGGCCATGCTATAAAAAGGCACTTAAACCATTATAATGCAATATCAAAATAAAATGACAGTTATTGCACTGCATCTCAAAAATATGCTACTTTGTATAAAGTAGAGAAGTTTTCTCTTGCCACCATGGCCAGCCTCTGTACCATGAGACCAGAGGAATCACCTGCATAGAAGTATTGTCCTGATGATTAGAAAAAGAAGAATAAGCAAATTACGACTACATTTGTAAAATCTATAACATAAGGTTAGCACTAACCTTTTGTATAAAACTTTAACATCCTCCCCTAATAAAGGGCTTTCGAGGAACAAATCATTACAATTTTTCATATCAACAGTCTCCATCTCAAAGTCCTGGTGACCACTCAATTCACTCCATTCAAACCACATTTTTGATATTAATTCCTTTCTAAAGCAGGTATTGTGGTCTTCTACCTCTGGTGAATCAGCAGCAACCAATCTGTAAGTGTATACTTTCCTCCCTTGGCCTGGTCTGAATGCACGGCCAATTGCTTGTCTAGAAACTGAAGGATTCAAATGAACATCCAAAATCATGACACGTGATGCCCCTACAAGAGAAATTCCTTCCCCACATGCCTTGATTGAACCAAAAAATACCTTTGCATCAGGAGAACTATTAAAACTCTCCATTGAAGACTCTCGTTGCTCAGGGTTCGAATCACCAGAGATAATAAAAATTTCCCTCCCAACAATCCAACCTTTTGTCCTAACAAGTAATCTCTCCAAGAATTTAAGAGGAAGGAGATATTGACTGAAAACAAGTAGTTTCTCCCCAGCTGATTCACACAATCCCAGGATATTAAGGAAAAACTTAGTCTTAACCCCATCCTTCACATCAATTTTTTCCAGCAAATTATCTATCTTTTCATCATTAAAGTTGCCCCCTTTTTCTCCAGATGACCCACTCTCTGAAAAATCTTTCAAGTGTGGATGCATATAGACAGCGCACCCCACGGATCTTTTCTTAAATTTTTCCAGTTTCTGTAGTTTTTCAACTGCATGCTTCTGTTTGGGTGTCAGATTAAGCACTACAGTGAAGTCAACAAGTCCAGGCAGTTCCTCCAAGAAATCTCCCTTATAATAATGTAGAACATCCTTTGTCATCTCACGGAGGTCTTGAATAACTACTACCTTCCTTCGAAAATCCTCATCATTCTGTAGGGTTGCCTCAACTGTTTCAAAGAACACTGCTTCCATGCTACTTCTAGACAATCTCTTCCCACCTGGTATATGCACCCTGCTCATGACACGCCTGACAACAGAACGGGAGGTATCCAACCTAAGAAACTTTGGACGCACGAGGTTAAATATATTGAACACCTCTTTGACATGATTCTGAAATAAGGTTCCTGACAATACTACCTTGCGGGCTGTCTGCACCTTAGCAAGGGACTGGAGAACATCTGTGTTTTCGTTCCTAGGTGTGTGACCTTCATCTAGAATCAAAATGCTAGGGACCTTCAGGAGTATGTCCTGACAAGCAACAGCAGTCTTGCTGGTTTCACTGTCACAGACAATATTCGAGAATTGCTTATATCCCAAGAAGAGAATGCTCTTATGCTCTACCCATTTCTTCAACACATCTAACTGTTGAGTCCGATTCTCTGCCTTGGAAGAGTAGAAATCATGTAATGGAATGTCCTCAACTTGCCACTTTTGAAACTCTTTCTTCCATGTTGCCAGGATGCCTTTCGGTAGTACAACTAATGGTCTGGCTTGGGGATATTTGGCAAGGAAACTCTGCATAAAACTTATAATCATGAATGTTTTTCCAGATCCTGGAGCATGTGCCAGGATGCAACCACCTGGTTCTTCTGTCACTAAATTTCTTGCCAAGAAATGGAAGCCCTCAACTTGATGGGGCTTCATTTTCTTAAAATGCCTTGGATGCACATGTATTTCAGCTGCAGTAAAATCATCTTCAGAGAAGTTAAGTCCAGAGAAGGCAACTTCAGTTTTGTCTCCATCCTTGATATTTCTAGCTTCAGAAGTGTAAGTCCGTGTACTCTTTGTGCTCTACAATGAATAAGCAAATAAACCGCCAAGGTAATAAAAAATATCCATATTGACACTTCTGAAAAGAAAATAAGGTAAAACATCTCCAAAAATTTTGCAGCCACACAACTTAACTAAAAATCATGTTAAGCACGCACATGCATGCTGGTTCTGTTGGATATCACATGGAACTTCCAGAAGAAGATTGTTCCAGTTAGGTCTAAATGAAATGCAAAATTGTTGATGTTTTAGCATTTTTTTTCAATGGATTAAACCATCAAAAGACATACCTTGAATAGCATGTTATAAGGGATAGAAATAAGGTAATTGGCTTTTAAGAGAAATAGGGGTTCACCAATATCCTCACTTTATTAAGAAGGTTGGGAAATAACCTACATTATGTTCATTTTCTTTTCTTTTTCTGGAAGGAATCTATTGGGAAGGACAATGTCTCAGATAAAAGAAGTGCTTTTTACTGGAGGATTACATTTACACTGTAGAACAACATTCTTCATTAACCTTTTCTATAATTTTTTTGGATAGATTAAAACTTTTTATTGCTCAAGAGAAATGTTGGTAAAAAGAGGTGGTTAGCCTCTCTAACCACTGAAAGCATTACAGTTACAGTTTCCTTAGATAGACCACCAGTACACTGGATCCTTTCCAACCCCTTGCCTTACCAACCCATCTGCCAGTTCAGCAGCCATAGGTACCCATTTTACTGTTACTCCCAGATCGTAACTGCCTCAGTTCTCTTATAATGTGTCATATTTCCATGGTCTGTCCTGATTAACCATTAACCACCCAGTTACAACACGTCAGTCACCCTTAACAATGATATTCCTAAATTTCACTGATTTATCCCTTCTGAGACCTTGAAGGATTGCCCATGCTTCGGCCTTGGTGGAATCTCCTATCTATAGGCCCTGAATGTATTGCCCTTCACTTTTATTTCGCTCATCTTTGTATGCTCTGTACTCATTATATTTCTTTTATCATTAACCAATAATAAAATATAGATAAACAACATTTATCAAAAAAAATATAGATAAACAACTAGTGCTGCTTTAAGTCATATGTATAAATAAGATGCAAAACATTGTAACTGTCCTCACATATTCTACAAGAATTTTGTGAGGCAGTTAATAATCTTTTCCTTTATTCTTCAAATGGTACAAAGTTGTAGAATTACTTTATGCCACTTTTAGAGCTAATTGGTCCAGCCAGCTAGAATGTATTGGGTCATTCTGAAAACACCTTCCTCCCCCACACTAGAAGGGAAAAAAATTTGATCAGTGAGGACTGAGGAATACTATTTAATGATATTCTCAAATAAGACATTACTTCCTAGTTTTTTTTTATCAATAACTTCAATTTTATTAATCTGAAAAGAAAGTGGTAAGTACAGACTGTTAAAACAGTTTAAGTTCTTTTTTTTTTTTGATCAATAACAACAAATTTCATTAAATAGGAATAAGCTTACAAAAAGGGGAGTTAAAGTATCTTAACTCCCCAGAGAATGGTTAAGCACCCAAGCTGAAAAAGAACAAAACAATTACAACTGAGCCCAGAACCCAGAAATCCTATTCACTGCTTGCCTAGCCAATCCATCAGCAAAGGAGTTTGCACTTCTCTTTACCCAATTACAACTGAACTTCCATATTCTTGGTCAACCATTTGAATTTTCTCTTCTCATTACTGTAACTCCAAAGCTTAGAATTGTCTTCTTTTAGCCAGTTCACTACCACCACAGAAAACCCAAATCCCTTACAATTGTGCCCAAAACAATGAATCTCTCTCCACCCCTTGCCTAGCTAATGAATCAGCTATGGCATTTGCACTCCGCTTGACCCACCCTGTCCTTACTTCCATTTCTCTAGTTAACCATCTGAATTTCTTCCTTTCATTATTGTACATCTACATTTTCATTCCCTCATCCTGTAGCCAGTTGATCACCAATTTTGAGTCTCCCTCCACGCTTAGTTTACTGATGTGCAGAATTTTCACCCTTTGTATGCCTTCCATTACAGCCATGACTTCTGCCCTCAATGAGTCTCCTTCCCCTGCCGTCCCAGAATATAGTGCAATAATTCTGCCCTTTTCATCTCTAAATATACCTCCAATGCCGGAGGGACCTGGATTCCTTATGCTACTACCATCGAAATTTAATTTAATAAAGCCCCTATCCGGTGGGCTCCAATGATGAATTGTGATAGCCTTAACAGTAGAAGAATCCGCCACTGCCCTCCAGTTCCTCAATATATCAGTTGCTGCAACACTAGAGAAATCTTTCAGGGACTTCAGCCAGTGCACCACTTTAAATTCGATTGCTTCAAAAATTTCTTTTTTAGTTCTTGCTTTATCCAAGAAGGTTCTTGAGTTCCGCTCTTCCCAAATCGTCCACAAGGTAGCAGTTCTTATACACCTCCTCATAGTTCTCCCTTTCTTTTTTGGCCATGAAAACGCAATTGCATCAAACATGCTTCGTATGCTCACAGGAAGGATCCACCTGCACCCAAACAAAGAGAAGCACCATTCCCAAACCAAAGTGGTAAAAGAACAAGAGACAAATAAGTTCTAATATTTAATCCTAGCCTTCGGGGCCTTTAGCTTCCTATGAAAGAACATTCCTTTCCATCTCACTCTAGGGCTCTCTCCTTCCCACCAATCCTTAACTTTTTGTATAAACCCTGGATGATTCAACCACATATTTTCAAACCTAAAAGGGGTAGGGCCCATGAAGGAGTGTTATCAAACATTACTTCCTAGTGTCATCATACATTTTATTACAAATTACAAATTTAGAATGCGCATAGGGAGCTTTCAATGAAGGAGGTCAGAGGAAGATTAGTTTATTCAAATTTCAAATGTTAAAGGCTCAATTCTTGGCTAGTTTTTTTTTTTTTTTTTTAAATCAGTAACAAACAAGAATTTTATTGGGGGAGATGATATCTTGGTTACTCGCTTGCAGTCATCGTTCATCTTTTCTCTGCATCAGTGCATCAGGCAGGATCAGCTCCCTCCTAAAAGGAATGGCAAAGCTCAACTTTGACAGATGTTCAATTAGCAACCTGGAGCAACATCTACAATTTGATCTCTTTCAACACTGTTTTAAGCAACATCTACAATTTGATCTCCAAAACATTTGAATGGGCCTCTTATGTTTGTCTCGGATAGTGATACCAATTCCAAAAATTCCAGGTTACCATGAAAGTATCCATCAACCTTTACTCCTTTCTTTTATTCCTTGCAAAAACCTTTACACCTTTGTGAATCTTATATGACATTCAACATCAATAAGAAGCAAGAAGCCAAGGAAAGAGAGGATCAGAAATGGGAGAGTTTATCATGGCAACAAGCTGGAGAAGGTCCTTGAAGGTTGAGGCTAAGCAGTTTCCTTTTGAAAGCTTTAGGGTGAAAGGGAAGAAAGCTCTGAAAATCAGAGAACTAAACAAGGCCATGGTATTACTGGTCGGGAAAGAAGTTGTAGTTTGGTTCCGGACATTCTTGGAGAAAGCAGTTCAGGTAAGTTGAAAGTTAGAGTGCAAAGAATCAAAAGAGGTTAATGGTAGGAGATTTGTAGCAGAGAGGAGAAAGAACACTAGAGGAAGGTTTGTGGCTTTGCTGGAGTTTTTTGGGGAAGGAAAAAAACGAATGGTTTGTTTTCCTAAAGGAAAGTTTGGGATTGGATGGAAAGAAGTGTCAAATGTTTTGAAGGACTTCTTTACCCGAGAGGGATTTGGAGAAGGTAGCAGCTCTGAGAAGGAAGAACATTTACAGGTAGGGAATGGTGTTGGTGGAGCTAGGAAACAAGAGCTTCAGACAGAGGTTGAAGGTGTACAAATTCTGGGTAAAGCAGCAAAAGATTGCAGAATGGTATGCAATGAGCTCAAGAACAAGTGGGAGAAAAAGTTTATAGTAACTTCTACAGTACCACCGAAAAACTGGAGGACAGTTGCAGAAGAGTTGTTAAAGAAGTTAAACTTGAACTGTACTATCATCTTAATCCCCTTTGAGTCTTGTAAGGCCTTGCTTGAGGTAGTTGGAGAGGAGTTGCAACTCTGTGCTTTGAGTTGTAAATTGAACTCAGCTTCTGTATCTATCACAAAATGGATGCCTCATTCAAACTCTAAGGATCTGCATGCAAGGGACAAAGTAATAGTTCGGATATTGGGTCTGTCGTTTCATCTTTGGACCTCAGAGGTGTTTGATTCTATAGCTGCTCTCTGTAAGGCAAGACTAGAAGGTTCCTTTGTGGAAGGCCTCCACTCAGCTGCAATTTGCTTGAGTAATGTGCATCTAGAAGATATCCCTCGTTCAGTAAAACTGATGGTTGATGGAGTGTTCTATGTATCCTGCCTGGTCACAGCCATTGAAGTTGCCTTGTGGAGTGAGGGGAGAAGGAAGGAGGATGAGAAGGTTGAAGAAGAGAGGCTATGTGGAAGCAAGGGATTGGTGTATTCAAATCTGGCTGACATTTACACTAAAATGGTATTCTTGGGAAAGGATATCTCAAAAGGAAAGTTACCAGCAACCAAGGGGAAAGAGCCATTAGGGGAAGAGGAAAAGGTGGTGAGATACAGATCTTATGCTCAAGTTCTGACAGAAAGAGGAGGTAGGGAGAAGGCTACTTGACAGGTTTCACCAACTAAGAGGGGTTCTAGTCAAGGTGGAGAGAAAGGACTGAAACTTTCTTTAAAAAAGCAAGGGGGTAAGGTAGTAAGAGAAGAGGGCCATGTGGGCACAAGTAGAGAGGGAACTTGTCTTAGCCACAGGAAGAGTTGTTCTAATGGGCCTAAAAAGAGTTTTACTGCAGTCCATAAGAGGGCATTTGGGATGGGCCGAGTTACATCAAAGGCTGATTCTCAACAGGCCCTTAAAGGTGTGTTTGGGTCCGGCCCAGTCAACCCATTTAATTTTAAGTCATGTGACCACTTAAGTGGTCACGTGGGTCATCTAAAGGGACTGATGATGGACACTAACTTTGGTCCATCATCTTCTCCGATTCGAAGAGACGCAGG